TAACCTGTCGGAGAGACAGAGCGAGACAAACTCCAGGGCCTGCCCAAGGGAGAGAGGTCTCCCCAGGACCCTCCGCCCCACACAGTGGGCCTCCAGAGGGCCACAGCCTCGGGGCACGGTGACCCAGACATAAGCCCAGCCCACCGCTCCTACCATCGGGACACTGTCTTACATTTCACTTGGGTGATTCAAAAGACTTCAAGCCATGGATACAAAGAGCCTCTGAGTGACAGTCTTTCAACGCAGTGACAGAAACCGATGCAGATCTTTTTTAGAGGAACACACCATCATTCTACCTCAATAATTCCCATAAATAACAGCCCAAGAGACGTGAGTGTGGAGACCATTACCCTATTCACCAGGCGGTTCTGTCTCTCCGCCTCAGAGAAATACAGCAGGAAGGTACTAGAGCTCTTCCTGCTTTGAAATTAGGCACAGCCCGTGACTCGCTTTGGCGGAGACCACGTGAATGGGAGTGATGTCTGCTAATTTCCTTTTGCACCGAGCCGAGCCGAGCCCATGTCCTTGGCCCACACCCTGCTGTGCAGCTTTGTGGTAGAGTAAATCTAGCATCAGCAGTGCTACCAGCCAGAGTTCTTGGGGAATCTGACCATCAGAGTCCTCTTAATGACCTCTCCAGGTCATAGAGCATGAGCAGGAAATAAACTCTAGTATCGTAAGATCTGGGAAACGTTGGGATCATTTATTACTGGAGTAACTTTAGCCTACTCTTACTGACACCAAAAAAAAAAAAAACTGAGAAAATATATTTCAGACCATTGCTACTAGGGTTGGTGGTTGTTAAGGTTTTTCAGTTTTGTTGCAAGTGGTTTTAAAATCAAGTAAATGTAGGATTAAAGATAACATCGAGATTGTGGCTTTCATACTGATTCCCATTCAGATCCCTTCTTCTCAGAGAAGAACATAATTACGTATATGTAATATTCACATAATGCAATAATTATAAAATGTTTTGATTTTATAAATGTGTGCATGAACCCAAGATGTTTTTTAGATCTGGGCATAAATGTGAACTGGTATTTTTCCATCAACATATTTAATAAGACATGCAATTAGTGTGTTTGACAGAACTTGGTCCAACCAAGAGATTCATTTTTTTTAAACCAGGTCTTTACTTGTTATCAGTTGGTTTAATCTAAACACTCACTAAAGAAATGGAAAAAAATCCTTAGACACATCCTTATTAGCAGACAAAACTTCCTAGCATTTATACCTATGCTGTTACATTGTATCAACTTTGGTTCCAAAGACCTTTGAGCTTTATGTCCAGCTGGAGACGGGGGTCATCTGGGAAGAAAAGCAAAAGGGACTACAGCAAAATTGGGTCCCCATGCAGCCCTGTGACAGGACCAAGCCAGGCCACTCATAGGATCTACCCTTAAGCATTCAGAGAAGAACTAGAAAAACGTTTAGCATGAGCTCAATCGTTTTGTGAGTGAGTTACTTCAGGTCTTGAGTTCTCTTTTGTATTGAGCTTGATTCCAAAGTCGCTTTCTGTAACTCCCTTCTGGCCACCAAAGCTCTTTCAGAATGAAGTTCCACGCCGAATCCTATGTCAGAGCTGTTAATGTAGGAATAACACACTGCCTTCAAAGACCCCAGGGCCAAGACTAAGAGAGGGGACCTCACTCTTCCCCATCAGAAACACATACTCCTCTGCCGGCCTCTTCCTGGCCTCCGGAATCCCTCTGTGCATCTCCTGCTGATGAATAAAAGCACTTCTGCTGCAGGACCTTACTCGGGCAACCTCTGCTCTGTGTCCTCATCTGCCCTGAATGGGTTATTCACTTCTAGGTTAATTATGTGTTGAGCAGCTACTGGGTGCTTCCTATGTGTCCCCCACAAGGAGCAGTTTAAAATGAAAATTCTTCAAAGTTGTTTACACCGCATGACCACAAGCTCATTGAGTGGAGATAATGGGCTGTGTGGAATCCTGGGGCTGGACTTCAGGCCAATTTCAGGGTGCGGTGAGGCCGATGCCACCCACAGTTGTTGAGGGTTGTGCCAGGACGAGAGTGGCCAGCCACACGGCTGCACAGAGGCTGCAACCCGCTGCCCAGCCAGCCCCTGCATGCCCCATCCGCCACCCTGAGAGTGAGCTGGGCTCTACACCAACGGTGGCTCGCAGGGGCCACACGGGCCCCGCTGGAGGCCTCAAGGGGGACAGGCTGGGGAAGGACCAGAAAAGTGGGATCTGCTATTAGATCCAAGGGGTAAATGTGAGACTCCCATGGGACGTGAAGGCCAGGTAGTGGGCAACTCGGGGTCACAAAGACCAATTGATAAAGGAAACTGACAGTCTACAAATGGCTCAAGATAGCGCCCAAAGACTTTCCTTTCTTTCTTCCCTTCCTTCCTTCCTTCCTTCCTTCTTCTTCCTCCCTCCCTCTGCTTCCCCTAGTCCTCCTCCTTCTTCCCCTCTTCTTCCCTCTTCCTCCTCCTCCCTTTCATCCCTCTCTTTTTCCTTCCTTCCAGTGCCAACCTGAGACCAGAAATGCAAATCCCAGGTTCAGTGCATAAGAGCGAAGCAAACACCCACTTTTCTAAAATCCTTGACATCCAAATGCCCGACGGAGCTCCTGTGCCTGTCTCACCTGCAAGACTGCAGATAGGTTTCCCGCCCACGCCCAGCTGGAGAGCAGCTCCCCTCGAAGCCCACCTCTGTCTCTGTGCTTCAGCTTGCGACACAGCGGCTGGAGCAATGACTCTGACCATTTATCAAGAACAGGCTTGGCCCTCGCTCTCCTCGGCCCCTTCCCCTCAGCACCCCATCCTCCCCAGAGCGGCTCCCCTCGTGGTCAGGGCCTCCTCGTGCTGACCACCCAGCCTGCGGAGCTCCTCCCACCCCAGCTCTGCCACGGCGGACCACGCACATCCCTGCTCCTGTGTCCCCTCCACTAACAATGGCTCTTGTCTCTCGCTGTCTTCTGCAGGTAGCAGCAAGCCAGACCCCACAACTAACCGATCAGCAACAAGGCCAGCAGGTGCAGATCTGAGATTATTATGAGAACCAAATACAAATAGGTTGCATTTTCCCTAGGTCTCCGGTGACAAACTGAATTCTTGCTTTCTTTTCTGTGTAGAAAATAGATGTTAAGTACCACCCAGCCCCCCAGCCAAGTGACTAAAATCACTGTCAGTTCAACACTGCCAGACTGGTGCTGTGCTTTAATCTTCGCTTTTGAAAATTCTGATGGTTGCAATCGGTGAAAATACCACCAGCATGCTGACCCTTCCTGATACAACACATCTGCATGCACACACAGCTCACATACACAGGTGCACACCCAGGCATGGGTGGGCGTGCACATCCTCATCTGAATTCCCTCTCCCACTCTCAGGCCTGGGCCGTGGGTCCCTGCATTCCTTGCCCCATGCAGCCCCTTCTCCAGCCCTTGACCAGAGTGAACTGGGGAATGAGTCTCGACCTGGGTACTCAAGGGCATGGGGCAGCAAGGCCTTTGAATCTTGAAGCTGTGGCCTCCCCATCCTGAGCAGTAGGAAAGGAGTCAGAATGCAGAATGCAGTTTCCTAGGGGCCACTCAGGAAGTAAACTTCGCTTGCCCAGCACTTGCTGTGTGTCAGGCACTGGGTTCACCTTGACCCACATATTTCCGGTCTGCCTTTTTTTTTTTTTTTTGGTACCGGGGATCGAACTCGGGTCCTTGCGCTTGTGCAACAGGCGGCGAAACCACTGAGCTAAATCCCCAGCCCTGTCCATCTTTTTTTTAAATTTTTTTAAAGCAGTGAGATGGCCATTATTCTCTCTATTTTACAGCTTTAAGAAATGGAAGCTCAGAAGAGCCCAGTAACACACGGAGGGCTTGGATCCAGACAGCTACAGCTCAGATTGAAACTACGGAGCCACTTGCAAACCCAAGATTTCACCAACTCTTGATTTATGTCCTCTTCTCCTTTTAATCATTTTAAAGCTTTAAACACATGCGTTCAGGGCCACCACGGGGTCACACAAAGTGCTGTCCCACGCACACATCTTGTATGCCAGCCAACGGCCGCTGCTGACCCCCGGCTTGAATTTCTTGTAAACTCACCGTCCACTGGGAAGTCTGCAAACTATCCCTGGTCCCTGCCTCCCAGACCCACTCGTGTTCCTGCAGGCAAGAAAAGCAAGCGTGCCAGAAGGCAGCCTCCGCACACCACTGCGGCTGGGCCCGTCCGCCTGGCACATGCCCTGCACGAGGCGTCCGCTTGGCTTTCGCGACGCCCACAGCTTTCACAACGCAAAAGCTTTCAGTTTTGCAACGCCATAGCCTGAGCGGATCTGCTAGGGTTTGAGCAATTCTTGTCGCTTCTGGCACTTCTTGGCTGATTTTGCAGGTTTTGGTAAGAAATGTGAGCCACTGTTAGGTGTCATGGATTCCTCTTGAAACAAAACAGAACAACACATTTGACTCATTCTTGTCAGCAGCAACCCCAAAGCTTGTCAACACTCCCAAAGGGCAGCAATCAGCCCGTGCTCTTCACTCTTCTAAGGTTCCCTTGTCGACTGGAAATATGGTCGGGTCCTGCCCAGCACCCGGGAGCCCCACACCCCAGCCAGCTCCCCCCTGGCTCTCCCTCTTGCCTGGCTGCTGCCTCTGCCAGGAATGCTCCTTCCTTCCGGGCTGTTTCTTCTCATTGTTCACCTCAGCCTCTCAGCTCAAATGTTTCTCCCGGAGAAACCATGGTAACTAACATCACCCAGCTCTGCACCATTACCTGCTTTGCTGTCCTCTTGGTGCTTATGCAGGCCAGCAGGTGACGTGTGGGGAAGGCTGTCCCCTGGAGGTAATCAAAGACTGTGCATTAGGGGCAAATGAACCTTCCACCTGATGGAAAACACTGACCCAAGACAGCCACTTTTGGAATTCATGAGAGAAACAATTGTAATTTTCATGCCAGAATAAGAGTTTATTACGAGGACTCAAGGGTTTGTCTTGCATCACAAACACCAAAAATTGTGACAAATATTAATTCCAGCTATGTTCTATTTCACACACACGCCCATCACCTGTACCGTACTTCACAGAATTGTTTTCAAATCACATCGAGGAAGTTGTGTTAAAGCAAAACAGGTTATACAAAGGTGTCGTCCTAGGCTTGATCCTGTTGCAGGTTTCTCTGCGGGACTCAGAAGACAGACTGCAATGTCTCATGCTCTCAGAAGGAGCTATGGGACGCAGAGCAAGGCTGGCTCTGACCCCTGCAAGCCGGTGCTATGGTCACAGTGGACAATGGCGACACAGCATGGAGCTGAGATGCGACTGAAGCCCTCATCCCCCTCCTGGCAGCAGAGCCACTAGTGCCCAAAAGGGCCGCAAGGCCCACACCGAGGCCGTGTGATGCAGGGGTTGGCGACACAGGGCCCAGTGAGCTTGTCACAGGCATTGCTGGTAGTGCAGGTGTTGCAGGGCAGCCTGGGGACAGACAATCATCGGGGCCAGTTAGAATAAAATGAGGAAAAGAAGGAGGAAGACACTAAAAGCACTTTGTGTCCAAACATTGCTCTCCCTTGGAGGACTCCAGCCAAGACCTGGAAACCAGAAGTCCATGTCCACCATGAGGACCAGGCAGCCCCACGGCGACCTCGTGTGTGCAGGGAAAGCTCCACGCCCCACTCACCTGCAGTCCTCGCTCTCCAGCAGGCCCCGGTACGTGTTGATCTCGCACTCCAGCCGCGCCCGCACGTCCAGCAGCACCTGGTACTCCTGGTTCTGCCGCTCCAGGTCAGCCCGGATCTCCGCCAGCTGCGCCTCCACACTGCCGATCAGGCCCTGCACCTGTGACAGCTGTGAACCGTAGCGGGCCTCGTTCTCGTTCAGCGTGTTCTCCAGCGAGTTTCTCTGTGGGGGACAAGGACGTCAGGGGCCGCTCCATCCCGGCTCCTCCAGGGCCCCGGAGAGGTCCCAGCTTGGAGACCCAAGGCAGCGCCTGGCACAAAGGGCACCAGCGCCTCCCCTCCCGGCCCTGGCTCCCCGCACGAACCCCAAACGCACCAGGTTGTGCTGGGCCTGCAGCTCGATCTCCAGGGCATTGACTGTGCGTCTCAGCTCGATGATCTCCGCCTGGTAGGACTGCAGCTGCTCTGAGCTCGACACCACCTGCTTGTTCAGCTCCTCGGTCTGCAATAGCCCAGGGAGTACGGGGTCAGACGCTGTCTTCGGGGCCGTGGGGGCTGGGGACCCGTGTGTCGGGAGCTCAGGCGCCCACCTGTGTGGTGTACCACTCCTCCACCTCCCTGCGGTTGGTCTCCACCACGGCCTCGTAAGTGCTCCTGACTTCGTTGAGCACGCGGTTCAGATCCACGGAGGGCGCAGCGTCCACCTCTATGTTGAGGCGGTCCCCGAGCTGGCAGCGCAGGGTGTTGACTTCCTGTGAAGGAGAAGGAAGTGTTAAAAAGTAACCAGTGACCTTGGTGTGCTCGGTGAAGTCATACAATTCTGCTTCTGGTGATTCTTGAGCGCTCAAAGACCTCCCTTCCCTCTCTCCTCTCCATGACCAGGTTCTACCGAGCGACTAAACTCCATACTCGTCCTCTACCAACCCCTCTGTTTGGAGAACAGCTTCCTGGGCTAAGTGAGCCCATGGCGGTTGAAAGCAGGTCCCTGCAAGCCCCGTCCTGTCAGGAACTTCACCTGCTCGTGGTTCTGCTTGAGCGACAGCAGCTCCTCCTTCAGCGACTCCACCTGCGCCTCCAGGTCGGCCCTGCACAGGGTCAGCTCATCCAGGATCCTGCGCAGGCCGTTGATGTCCGACTCCACCAGATGCCGCAGGGACAGCTCGGTCTCGTACCTGTGACCACAGGAGGCTCACGCTCAGGCTGGGCAGCAACACAACCTGGCCCTGGCCCTGCTCTGCTTTGGTTTGTCAGATGATGAGGAATTGGTGTTGCTAAGTTTTCGGGCAATCCCATTCCTTTAGGTTTTCAGTACCCAGCAGTCTGTCCTGGAGGAAAATTCTCTGGTAATTATTTTCCTACAGAACTGGTGGGTTGAGGAAGATGAAAGCCCACAAGCTGAAAGGTTTCCAGAATGAATACGCTTCTCCTGTTCTCACGATTGAGGTCTGGGCACAGTAGGACTTCAGAGACCTGAGCTGTCTGCACTGACACAAGGCATGACTGGAGGCCATCACTTCACAGAGGAGCAGGAGGAGCAGGAGGAGGAAGGACAGTGAGTCCGGGAGAGGGGAGCCCGAGGCTACACAGCAAGAACTCTGCGGACCTTAGGGAGCTGTCTGGGGAGAGCTCGGTCAGCGTTTGTCAGCGCTGACAACAGTGCCCCACTGGCCACTCACTTGGTCCTGAAGTCGTCGGTGGCCAGCTTGGCGTTGTCCACCTCCACCACCAGCCGGGCGTTCTCAGCCTTGTTGCACAGGATCTGGGAGGCAGAAGTTGCTTAGTGAGGATGGAAACAAATGTGAGCCCATCAGCTTCTTTCTTTTCCATGAAGGGGAAGGGGAAGGGAAAGGGAAAGGCTGGAAAGACAGGAGCAGAGAAGCAAGGTCCCCTTCTCCACCCCCTGGAGGAGGATCAGCCCAGCTCCCTCGCTGGGAGACGGCAGCCAGGCCTACCTTCTGCTGCAGCTCCTCGATGGTGCGGAAGTAGGACTGGTAGCTGGGGCACAGCAAGGGCTCCTGCTGCTGGTTGCGCTCCTGGATGCGCCTCTCCAGCTCGCAGTTCTCCCGCTCCAGCTGCCGCACCTTCTCCAGGTAGCTGGCCAGCCGGTCGTTCAGGAACTGCATGGTCTCCTTCTCGCTGCTGTTGAAGGAGCCCTCGCAGAACCAGTTGCAGCTGCCCACATTGGCAGGGATGTTGCAGGCCCCGGGCAGGGTGCAGCCGTGGCAGCTGGGAGGCACGCAGGGCCGGGAGGAGCAGCTGGTGCGGCAGCTCAGGGCGGGCAGGCAGCAGTTGTAGGGCATGGTGCCGAGGGAGGCAGGTGCCGGGCTGAAGATGGATCCAAGCTCTCCACCCCACAGCGTTATGGGACTCCTTCCTCAGGCAGCCTTTATACCCCTCTGTGGAGGGTGTGGACCTGTCCAGCAGCCCTATTTTGGCTCATTTGGTGATGGTCAAAGCCCTTCCCTCCGCTTGTTATGTGTTTCCTCCACAGAGTCCCTCACCTCATAAAAGGCTTTGCCAGGGCTTCTCCCAAAGTCAGGACCCCTTGCGGTGCACGTCATGAAGTCAGAGCTTCACGGAGTGACTTCAAAGACCTGCACTCATGAAAGCCCCGGCCCTCATCAGCAGGTGTGCCTGTTGCGGGACGGGCCAGCTGCTCTGCCTCCTGGAAGGAGGGCCCTGGTTCTTGGCCAGCCTTGCCTCTCCTGGAAGAAATGGAAAAGCAGAGGTCTTTCCCAGGTATCTTTTCCTAGGTCCAATTCCCAAGTGCTTCTCAAAAAGCAAGGGGCCCCTCTGGGACAATTCAAGTAACCTGGCTCCGGGTGGCCCTGTCGCCCTGGTGTATTCGTGATGATGTCCATGGACGGACAACAGCTCGGCACTAGGGTCGTGACTCATGCAGACCAGCTCGGGCCTGTGAGGAGCAGACGGTGGGCTGTGCTCTGGTGCGAAGAGGCCTGAGCTTGTGTGAGGGCCTGCACTGCCCCTCGCTGGTGCTGGACACATTTCACATATGTGATCTTAGCAACGCCTTCACCGCAACCCGGCAAGACAAATCATGCAACTCCCGCCTTGCAGATGACAAAGCCTGGCCCGGCGGGCAGGACATAGAAAGTCAGGACGCTAGATTCCCACACGGATCTTTCCATCAGGCCGCGCTGCCGGACCCTACGTGGCCCTCTCTCCTCTCTAAGCTGCCGTCCACCTGGAGCAGGGCATCACCGTGACCTACAGGTCCGCCTCTCTCCGTCTGAGTCCCCTGGAGGCCGAGGCGGGCCAGCTTCATCTCAGGGCTCGGCTGGATGGGCATGAGTCGGATGGGTGGAGAGGTGAGCAGGAGAGGACAGCCTGAGGCAGGGGGTGACGTGACAAGTGAAGGGCCCGGATCTTGGGGACTGGGGGTCCCAGGAGTGGATTCCTGCTGGGACAGGGAGGCTTCCAAGAAGCAGACAGAGAGACATGGGAGGGGCCCCAATATGAGCCTAGCGAGGGACTTCAGTGAGCCACGTCGGTGCCGCCCGCTGGGAAGGGAGGGCATGAGAGGAAGCGCTAGGAAACACAGCTGTCAGGGAGGTCACGGGTGGCCGTGGCGGCAGCTAAAGGGCTCGGTCCTCCGTGCAAGGTGACTTCCTGAGCCCGAGTGTGGGAGCCACAGGCTGGTTTACGAACAGTTTCAGTGAACATCTATCGGCTTTACACACACGAAGGACAGGCTAAGCATGGAGTGACCAGCAAGGAGGTGAACACAGCAGTCCAGGCTAGGGGTTCCTACAAGGGGTCCAAAGGAGCCTGTCTCTGGCAGGGACGAGAGTGACAGATAAAAGTTTAGTGTCCGTGCAAGTTAGAGAAACAGACCGAGTGAGAGAGGGCAGAGCAGTGTGGGCTGAGGGCCACACCCTGGGGAACTCTGAAGAAATGGGGAATGTGAGAAGCAGGGAGGAGAACGAGTCCTCGGATCCCAGAAGGGCAGGGCAGAGAGCTAGTGAAAGAGGGCCGATGTCGGAACTGCCCCTCACGGCCAAGGGCCGCATGCAATCAGGACCCTCTGAAGGTCAGACTGGTGTCCCTGCTGTGTTCCTGAGGAAATGCCACAGGAACTCCCTACACTGAGATTTCAGACATCTGTGACTTGTGGAAGTGAGGGAACAACCCATCTAAACACCTGGTTAGAAAGCCTGTGAGCTTGGGTCCCAGGAACCCGACTTTCGTAACTGGAGTGTGCATAGAACAGTTTATAGATGCCAGCTTGTTTGAACCGGATGATTCACAGCAGTTTACGATTTAGGAACAATTATCCAAGAAGCATAAGCAATATGAGCTGCCCATGCCTATGACCTTGTGTTTCGTTGCAAGACATAAAATGTGTCTTATTGGATGTCCTGGAGGGAGAGGCATGAGGACAAAGTCCCAGCGTGTGCTGGGGGTGGGCATGGCCCAGGAAGGGGAGGCGCTCGCTAGCCTGACAGGAGACGGCAGGCAGGGCTCAGCGGGATGCACCCCAGCAGACACCAGCTGCTCAGAGACGGCCGCCCAGGTGAGAGGCCAGATTTCTTTGTGTTTACACTTAACGTCTCCCTTCCTCCTCTCTGCCTCTAATGTAGACCCCAAATGCCAGCCAAGACAGTCAAAAGAGCAAAGGAAAATCTTGGAGCGAGAAAGACATCAGTGATCTCAATGGGCATCTCAGTCATGCTCTCCTTGTTTTACCAACAAGAAAACTAGGCTCAGAGTGAAGAAAGACATGGCCACTCAGGTCACGTCATCCAGCCCAAACCCCCAGATCCCAGCCTCATCTCCACACTGCACGAATGATGAATAATTTCACAATCTGATCTGCTGTTAACCACGGGCAGAAACCAAAGACAGAAAGGAAAAAGAAGAACCTAAACAGGAGAACAAAATCTTGTCATTCACAGGTATGTTCTGTTGGAGAAGAATCAAGGATTCATGTGGGAAGAGCAAGTTGAGTCCAGCAACATTAAATTGCCTTCTGTCTCCCTGAGCTCAATTCTAAACCAATGTTACAATCAAAGCCCAACAATTGGGAGCAATTTAGACACAATTACATCCCATCGATATAGAATCACGTGCTGGCAGTTTGGAGCAGCTTAGAATAACAATCTGTTAAACAATGCTGATCTTATTCAATAGCAATATTTTCCCCCCCCAAAAAAGTACACAAGTAGTCATAACAAAATTTAACATTGTATTATTTTAACAATGAGCACAATTGAGAGATTTAAAAGAACCACGTTATGTGATAACACCAGATGCTTTTTGGTACCAGGGATTGAACTCAGGTCCTTGTGGGGATCGAACTCCAGTCCTTGAGCTTGTGCAACAGGCAGCGAAACCACTGAGCTAAATCCCCGGCCTGACACCAGATGCTTTTACATGTCAAGAACAGGAAAGTTTTTTTCCTTCTCTATATTTTTTTAATTCATTCCAAATATTTTTGAAAAGTGTATTACTTCTGTACAAGAAAACAATATAAAACTTCCTTTAAAAATTGCAAAAGGAAATGCTTACAGTGCTTCTAAAGAAGTAATGGGCTGATGGGGGAAAAAATAAGAACTAAGATACATCATGTTCGGGTACAAACACCCAGTGATAAATGTAAATGTATTGTATACCTAAAATGTACCAATAAATAAATAAATAAATAAGAAGCAATGGGCTGTAAGAAGGAGCCAGCCCAGGCTCCTGGTCCACTGTAATCACTGCACTGCCCTCGGCTTGTTACCTGGGCGGGGGAGCCGGTGCTTGGATGGGAACTCACAGCCCTGTGGTAACTGATGACTTTCCCAAGTCCCAAGGTGAGCAGTGAAGAAGTGGTAGAGAAAACCCCGACTGCCTGTGGCTCGGGAATTTACTGGCATGGGCGTGAGGTGCAGATGAGAGGGAAGCCACACCTGGAGAGATCTCTGCTCGTCCACCTTCCGAGGGGACCTGTGTTAAGCCGCCTCACTCTGAGCTACGTCCTTACACCGGACAGTGAACCTCGTTTCTCCCTGGATGTAGGATCTGAGGCAGAGGAAACCCGGGACCTCAACAGAGACCTGCTGCAGCGTCTCATCATTTCTTCCAAGCCTCTCGTTTGACAAATAGAATGACTTCGATGCCACCGGAGACAAGACTTACCCGAGCTCCCGGGGGGAGTTTGTGAAACAGTCTCAACTGGAAAAGCATAAATTGGGTCAGAGAAATGGGGGACCCACACAGTCTTCAGTCTTTACACGAGGATTAGAGCTGGGACAACCAAAAACTGTAGGTCCCTCAAAAGACGCCATCCTTAGGGGCAGGTGGGCTCGAAAACTCCCTACCATAGGAAGATTCTTTTCAACTGAAATATCTCTTGCTGGACTCGAGATTTCAAATGGTAAATTCCCTTCAAACTCACTGAACCACGTGTTAGCCTGCATATCACGGTGATTGGGGCTTGAACCTATGCTACTCACATGAATAAAGAATCCCCATGCTAATCAACTAACAGATCACACAGGGAAAGAAATAATTCATGATCAGCAAGGAAAGCAAGACGCAAGAAGCAGAAGAGTAAAGCCAAAAACCTTAAATAATATGTTTAAAGAGTTTATTGGACAAAATTAATTAAAACAGTAAGTTGGCCATGCTGCAAAAAGAAGTCATGGTTTCATTTAAAAATCACACAGAAATTCTGCAAATGAAAAATATAACTTAAAATATAAATTTTTTTTAAAAGGTCACTTGCCACTTCAATAAGTCAAGAAGTTTTTGATGTCAGCTATGTTGTTCAAGGTGCTGAATTTCTTCTCGGCTTCTGCTGAACTAAGAAAATCCTAACAAAAAGCTGGGTCCTGGCTTGCATTATCCTACTGGACGCTTTGGGATAGTAAATACCTCTCCTCCGGATGAAGTCACAGCAATTATGGTCACGTGTAATATTGTCGTATTATCTATTACACAGGGCCATGTGTGTGTGTGTGTGTGTGTGTGCGCGCGCGCGCGCGCGCGTTGTGGTTTTGTTACTTTTTTCATCAAATGACAAAGCTACTTTTGGGGATTTTTATTTTGTTTTGTTTTTTGAAACAAGGTCTCACCATGTAGTTCAAGCTGGCCTTGAACTCATTATGTAGCCTAGGCTGACCTCGAACTCACAGCGATCCTCCTTCCTCAGCCTCCCAAGTGCTGGGATTACAGGCATGCACCACCACACCTAGCTGACCAATATACTTTTATAAAGTTAACATCTCTTAATAGCTTTTTGGCCAGGCGTTGATGTTTATTTTGTTGGTTTCCTAATGGAATATCACATTTATTCATTTCTATTAAGATATAGAATACATATTTCTGTTTCATCATTCTCCTTACTTTTACATATTCAATCACTGTATCAAAATATTATTACTTTTAATAACTTAAGTATTCCTTTCTTATAAATCCCATCATTGCTATCTCTCCTACAACCCACTAGTAAGATAAATAAGAACTTAGTTTAAAACTTCTAAGATAGGCAAAGGAGCTGAGTGGACATTTCTCCAGAACAGATATATAAATAGCCAATAAGTACATGAAAAGATCAACATCACTAATCACTAAGGAAATGCAATCAAAAGAGACACCACTCACATGTACAAGGATGGGCA